ACTTATCTTAGCTATGGCATCATGTCCTTTTACAGAGACTCCATTCTGGATGCAATTCAGAGTCAACTAAATACTGAAGAGAAAGTACTCATGAAAGAGTCAGTATACAAGAAATCCATATAAAATTGAATAGTAAGCCCATCTGATACTATCCTTTTGAAAATAATTGTTTTTCTCCCCTATTTAGAAGTGCTTGTGAAACTAAGTGAGGTAACCTTAAGTTACTAATGTTCATTTGAAAATGATTAACCTTAAAGTAGTGACTTTTTCACTGGGACCCTGGCCTAATTTAAAATAGTTTTCATAATAAATGATTTTTTTTTTTTTACTTTACATGATCTCCTCATGCCAATAAAAATAAAGTATCTTTTCAAAAAGGCATCTTTTTAAGAATACAGGACCAGATCTCCATTATTACATTTTACATAATCTGTAAGGAAGTTTTATACAAATGTAAATAAAGACAAACTTGATATCAGCTCAATGAATATTCTAGTAATACTTTTGTTTCTTCCCCAGACACCAGGTGTAATATCCATGTCTATGGTAATTATTAGTTCTAAGGTTAGCACAATCTCTAGAGAATGCGTCCTGGCTTATTATTGACAGGAATTATTAGTATTTTTCATGCAAATGGGGTCATTGCAAAGTACAATAACCTGGCTTGTGGAAAATTCAAAATAGATTATAGTTCTTCGGTTACATATGACATTTCAGTCTGTAAATATCACACCACAGTCACAGAACTAATATGGGTAGCCCTCACCTCATGAAGGAAGGAGTTACTGAGCATGAAATGCCAACAACCATATGCCAAAAAAATGTTTAAATTGTTTCAGACATCACAGGGAAGAAATGCTGGGATGTGTGACAAACATGTTTGTCCATTGATCTATGCTTGAGTTCAGGGCCCTGAAAAGGAAGTAAGCATAAATTTTCCAGAAGCAGAGATCCCTATTAAGGCCTTTTGTTGAAAGAATATTTTAAGTCAACTAAAAAATATGATGCTTGTTCTTTCACAGAATGATGCTCACTCCTAAAGGACATAGGACTAGTATTGTTTTCTAGTGCTGATAATGAATTTACAACTGTTCGTATATATTCATAACTAACTAAATGGATTTAACTTAAAAAATAATTTTTAGTAACTGATAAAACTTTCATTTGAAAAGTCTGAAGAATTTTAAAAACCAAGATCAAAAAAGAAAATAAGCCATCTATGAAGCTTCTATTCAGATATTAGGTATTAATATTTTAATCCTTCCCATTTCTTTGTCAAACATCAGGAGAAATATGTACATATTTTAAAATAATACTATATTGCATAAATTTTTCATAGTATTTTCATAACATTAAATATTCTTTTAATATTTTTAACAACTGCACACATTCTGTGGTATGGTCATAGCATTAAGTTTATTTTTTAGGCATATTATTTCCAATTTTGCTTGCATAAGTATATCCTCACATATATCTCTGAGCATTTTTAGGACAAATTCTAAAAAGCAAAATTGTTAGATCAAGGAGTAAGCACATTTTAAAGATTTTTTTTTAAGCTACAAGTTGCTATATATGCCAGTAATGTATAAAAGAGCCCATTTCCCAGAACTTCATCAACACTGCCAACATCTCTTTTAATGTGGCCAACTCTTCCTGAAATAGTCAAATGCAAGTTATATTTGGATATGCTTTAATTCCGTTAAGCCTTAGTCACATCTCTGGATTTCATGTAGTTTGTTTCTTAACAAGTTCTCTTCCAATTTCTTCCTGAACTACAAGCAACAGTCATGACTAAAAGAGTTATCTCTGAAAGTGCAAAAATACTCTTTCCAGCATTTGCACATATTAATGCAAATATATAATTTTCCTTTGCACCATATTTTGCAGATATTACCAGAGTTTTTCTTCCTGTTCCTGAAGGAGTAAAAAAAAATACATGCTTCTTTTCCAATGCCTTAGATTTGTTTTTCTCTTACCTCTTTGACTGAGAGGAGGAAAAAACTCTGTGATTTATATGAGTGGTATTTGTAGAGCTAACCTATTGCTAATATACAAATTGCAATTTATCTCAGAGTAAAGCAAGAAAAGACAATGGGCTGTATAGTACAATTTTTCTCATTACTATCATGCTAATATATTTTTAGTAATCGCCCAACATGTATGGAGCATGGTACCAAGTCCTAGGAATAAAAAAAAATAGAATGAAAACTACTTTCCTCAGTGGTTTTATTTACTAGTTGAGGAATGAACATACATAATATAAAGGTAAATCCTAATAAACAATAACATACCCTTATTTCCCGATGGACTCAACCTGACAATGTCCTTGAAATTCAATGAAGTGATGCCTAAAGACTGAAATAGTATCTTCGAGGGCTTTAACTCACATCTTAAAGGAGCACTAAAATTTTAAGGAGAGAAGGGAGTGTGTTTCCAGCAGAGATTCTAATGCTCACAAAGGTGAGAATGTACATGGCATGGCATTTTCAAAGTGAAAAGAACTTACCAAAGAGTCAGTATGACAGTAGAAGAAAAACCTGAAGTGTTCAGCTAGCCTTAATGTCCAGGTGGGTTTAAGAGAAGTCCACTGGAAATATTAAAACATTTGATGTTTTATGAGACATGAACTTTCAGATAATTTAGAAAATTTTATAAGGTATTACTATGAAAAACATTAGTACTAACATGAGATAATCCTGTGCTAGACGACAAAGTTGCAGAAGAAATTAAAACCAGGCAAGTTGTTAGAGCCATTAGGATAGAAAAGTCAACAGAACTTGGCCCTGATTAGATGTAAAGATAAGAGAGTACTAGGAATTTCACAAACTTGTATTTAAATATGCTTGTACGAGCAAGGAACCTCCCCTCTACCAAGTACATGATATAGAATCCCACTGAGAAGGGTGTATTCTAGAATGTAACTTTCATGGCTTCACAGGTAAATTGATGCTTGAACTCTGACTCAAAGCAAAGGGATTATCATTTATCACTAGATGGGAAAGGGGAACAACTTAATGAAGAGGGCAAAAGAGGAACAAAGCATGGCTCTTATAATAGTAAGTTTACACAATCAGAGAGGGATGGTAACAGACTACAGTAGAGAAGTCTGGCAGCAGAGATGTTTTAGATGGAAGGACAATTAATTCAGTTCAGACATTCTTCAAAAAAGTATGTAGAGTGTCCACCATCCTGGCGGCAGTAGAAACACATCCAAGAACAAAACAGGCAACAAAAGTTTTTTTTTTTTTTTCATAGAATTTACATTCTAGTGTTCGGAATATATACATAACTAGAGTTATAGTACTATCCAAAGAGTTTTGTCTTGTTGTGATTTTGTTTTCTGTTTTGTCATTCATTTTAACAAGGCACATAAGAAATTTTAATACAAGCACATAAGAAAGCAAGGGTGATTGATATTTGACTTAAGTCATCACTTAGGCAAAAAATGTACCAAGTATCTATTACCTCTAAGACTTCAAACAGTCCTCAAGCTGATCTTGATGTCTAAAAGCTTCAGACAAATGGCTCAGTAATTGAGAGCAATAGAGTCAATCACATTTAGTTAGAAGAAAGTCAAGTCTCTGTGCAAAAACAAGCTGACCTTGTAGCTTTGCATTTTTATAGCACTCTTCCTTTGCTCTCAGTCTATGTTTAATGCTGTGCTGAGATCTCTTTTGACCTAGCAGTACTTCATCAGAGTACTTCTAAACTACAGTTCTCAGTAGGTCTCATTGCTTGAATGTTCAAAGGGACAAAATTATTGGAAAAGTATTTGTAGGTCAGAAATAAGGGTTCTGACTGACTAACCTTGGAAGTGAAATTGTTGCAATTAAAACGCTCAGTTTAAATGAAGATAAAAATATGTAACCTGTTTAAGCATTATATTTCAAACTATTGTCAAAGACAGTAGAGAGATACTGAGTAATACTCTTGACACTGTAGCTACATAGAATTCACCTTACCAGATAGGCTGAAAAGAGAAGGAAATTAAAGACTTCAAAGTTTTTTGACTTCCACAGTACTGGAGCAGACTGCAGATCATTCATTTAACTGATTGAAAATCAGTCAGTTAGTTCCCATACTAAAGGATTTGGTGTTTTACTTCTTTGTTTTTGAATCAGTTACTCTAAAGTTTTAAGTATGCATATTAATTTATTTCTGAAAACTTGTTTACTTAAAATTATTATTACCAAATCCCTAATTATTATCTAATCATATCAAAGACGTACATAAAATCATGTCAGAGCAGCATAGTACCAAAAGTTATCCCTGACCACTTCCCAGGCTCATAGCGGTAAATGAATTTAATTCTTCTGATGGGGCAAGAGGATGGCAACCTGAGGAGCCCACTGGAGGATAAATTGTCTTTGTAATAGGGTTTCAAATGCTAAATGCCTTTGGGAATTTAGTTCAATAAGAGAGATTTCTAAAGTACACATTAGGTATTAAATCTTAGAACTAGCATATGCAATCCAAAAATGAATAAGGCCCAGTTATCCTTAAGAACTTCACAGTTTAGTAAGATTTAAACCTTATTAGATTTTTATTTATTTATTGTGAGATACCTTAGTTTTCTGGTTTTCATTATGATCTGGCCCAAGTTATATTGTATTCCATTTTTAATCCTATAAACCATTCAGTCTCCAGCTGGTAATAATTTATATAACAAATGCATAACTCAATAAAAGGCAAAGATCCTCATAGTATTTTAGAAAAGATTTTAGATATCCTGTAATTCACATTTTATAGTTGAGAAAGCTGGCAGGGATCTAACTTTAAGCAAAGTTTCCAAAACCTAGTTGAAAGAGCTTTCTACTGTATTACATGAGAGTATAAAATACAAAAAAGTAATTGCTTGGTGTTCATAATGATCCTCTTAAATTATTGAATGAGTATTTTATTTTATGCACTGGGGGTGGAATTCATTCTATTTCCCTGATATTTCTCATACATTATTCCATACTGTTAACAGCTTAATAGATGTAGTTATTTTGTATTAGTTTTCCAGATCAAGAAATTCGTGAAGTGGCAGTTCAGCAATTAAACAACCTGTTGAATGATGAACTACTGGAATATCTCCCACAACTGGTTCAGGTAAGAATAGCAGAGTTGACAAGAGATGCCAGGATTTTAGGTAATAATTCTTTAAAAAAAAAAATTTCCACTGAATCAACAATAGACTACAAAAAAATAATATTGTATTTTGGCCAGCCAGTGGGCTAAATTATAGCTCATATATCAACCTAAGTAATATAGGAATTCTTTAGCCAAAATTAGCAGTTCCAATAAAGGAATATAAAAGCCAAAAGTTATTTTTTAAAAATAACTTTAGTTATTAATTAGAACATGGAAAAAAATAGAAAACCTTGCAATGAAATTTTTTTTCATTTGACTGAATATATAGAAACTATGAGAAATTATCCAAATAACTGTTATGTAATATAAAAAAGTAATTTGCTGTACATCTCATAACTTATGTGTCTCTTGCCTTCCCTTTATTAAAAAGTATTTTAATATTGATTATAAATCATATTAAAGTAAATTTGAAAGCACAAGTACTACCTCCAGATAATATTTTTATGATATCAAATATTCTAACATTGAAGTTATTTTAGAAAATAATATAAGTTCATATGGAAATATGACCAAAGACTGATTTCATCTGAATATGCTGAAATGTAAACAATTGCACATTTTACAAATAACAATGTAAATGACTAAGCATACAAACTATAAAAAGTATTTTCTAAGTTGATTTCATTTCTGTAAGAGTAGGTCTAAAATAGTAGTCTTTATATTTGTTTTTTGTTTTATTTTTAAACATAGACATTTTCTTATTTGAAATGCCAAGTTTTGGTTACAAGCTATTTTAAATGCTAGATGTCTCCAGATTTGAACATTGAGACCCATCAGGAAGCCTCTGTTAACAGACTTGAATACCAAATTACTTCGCAAATAGAATATGCTCTTCTCTGACGGCCTCCTAAAAAGAGCTCTTTCAAAAATAGCTGTATCATATAGTTACTTCTACCAACCTTTATCATTGTGACTTACCTAGAATTGCCAGGGTAGGGTAGTAAAAATGAAGTTAATCCAACTTACAGAAATACTATATCTCATGACTCATCAATTTGAGCAACATGCTGTATTTAACCCCATTCAAAAAGTAAGTTTTTATAGAAGGTTATATAAATTAAATACTTTTGAAAGTCCCACTCTGAATCAACACAATTGGCACCAGAAATATCACTGACATCCATATACCTGCAAATCTAAATATGACAAATTGTACACAGATTCCACTGCATATATACAGAGGTGAAATTAGGTGAAGTTGCCATTATCCCCTTATTAAAAATGAAGATGGAAAGAGTTGTACACTGTGAATAGAAAATAAATTAAAAATTAGAAGAATTTTCAAAATGTTAATTGTGGAATTTGTCCTTAAATTTTCAGGTTCTACCCTGACCTTAAAATTTTCTAAGACATTAAAAATCCTACCCTATTGACTATTTTCTGGAATCATGTTATTCTGTTACATGTTACCTTGTTGGCATTATGCATGCTATATTAAAGCAAGAAGAAAGGACTTTAAGACCATCATGAAAATAAGAGATAGCATGCATAGCTAGACACCAAATAAGACACAGACCCAGGAGTCATTACAAACCACTGCTAATAATAATTCAGGTGGGTTCCAAGAAATTCCTGATAATGTAACCTGCACTAGAAATGTTGCTTAAATCCTATATAATGAGACAGGATTTAGGGGGACATTATAGATAAAGTGTAGACCAGTAGACAGAATGCTCCAGGAATTTGGAAGAAAAAAAAAAAGAATATCTAGTTACTGGGTTCAAGAAGAAATAATGGTGAAATCTAAAATGAAACCTAAAGAGACAAGCCTGAAACTAAATTTTCTCTTCCTCCTATGCTTAGATGATATGCTCACTATTAGGGTGAAAACACAACCCATGACTGAGTTAGTGTAGTATTAGCAAGGGAGTAAAAGGCTACAGCTGCAGTTTAAGGTAGTACATATCATAGTCACTGTGCAGCATCTGTATACTGTGCACTCAACATCATCAAGAGTATGTGCAAATTTGCTAAAATCATCTTTGGCACTCTTATTCCTTAGACATTCACAAACTTTTACATGCATAAGGATGTTTAGTATATTGAGGTGTTCTTTCAGGTGTGTGCAGGAATGAATATTGTACTCTTCTGTATTCACTTTTTTTTATATACTGTGCTATCAAACCTGACTTAAACTCAGTATGCATGCATGTGTGTGTCTGTGTACAATTCAAATGGCTTATTGGATAACTAAATACAGAGTTTTTCATTTTAAGCAGGCTTGAGCAGTTTTATGAACAGAATATGGTTTTCATTTTCACAATGTACTAATTCCCAGGATGTTGATAGGGGTCCAGGTACTGACTGCTGATAGTATAGTCTCTACAGAGTGCAGGTAGCGGTTGCAATTAGCTCCCTAAGGGTGTCAGGGGCACCATTGCTATCTGTGTTTTCCATCAGGTTGAACATCCTAAGAAACCTTAAAGAGCTGTTCACAGAGATAAGGGAAAGGATTTGGGAATGAATGGATTATGGTGGCAACAATCAGCTTTGAAACCTATTAAGTAAGGCTTCAAGGTCTGTTAATATATCATTGACTTATTTCAACTGAGGCTGTGAGTGTGCATTAATTTAATTTCCAAAAAGTAGAAATATCTAGCACTTAATAATCCCATTTTTAAAAAATCCAGGATACAATGTGTGTGTGTGTGTGTGTGTGTGTTTGAGGATTTCCCTCTTAGGCACGAGGGAACTTGCTATTATTTATTATCCTGTGAAACTAAATCATAAATAGAGAAATAAATCAAACTTTCAAACCTAATTCCCTAATTCAAACCTATTTACCAGCCAATAAAGCTATCAAATATATTAACATTTTGTTAAAATGTTTCTTTCCCCAGATCTTTTCTCAGTCCTCTTAAGTCCCTCTCTATTCTGCTTTAACTTTGTTTCTGAAGGAAAAAAAAAAGAGTAATGTAATTATATCTCTTACTCCAGGCATTTAAGTTTGAATGGAACCTTGAAAGTCCTCTGGTGCAACTCCTATTACATCGTTCATTGAAAAGCATCCAGATAGCCCATCGACTCTACTGGTAAGACTAACTACAGTGGGTTTGGTTGCCCTTTTGTCACCTTCTCTCCCTGGGCAGCTTTAGAATAAACAGAAGATCTCTTTGCCTATTCAACACTGAACTGAACATCTTGCCCCCTTTCACCCAAGCCTAGAGTCTTCTCTGGCTCTTCCTTGTTTCTCACAAACATGCCAATTGTTTACCAAGCCCCGTAACTTCATACCTTTGATGCAGCTGCTTCCACCTATCCCTGCCACTGATAAAATTTCCTTACCAGACACTGAATTATGAATAAATAGTCTTGGACAGAAAACTATGTTGACTGCATAGATTACTGTGGGTAGCCTTACTGAAGTGGAAAATTGACTTGTAGTTTCCACAAGTCTCTATTGGAAGGGTGAATGTGCTATGAGTAACCCCTGTTTTTCATGAAGAATTAAAAATAAGCTTTAGATTTGGAAGATTAAAATCTTTCAGTCCTAGTTTGTGCCTTAAAATGTGGCTAGGAACAGAAAACATAACATTTTGGGTTCATACCCAGGATGCCCCTCCTCCCATCATATAACAGTTTCATATAGATGCTTAAACTCAGAGCCCATCTCCAATTTGGGTAGAAAACAAGTAGTGAGATATTCGTTTCAACAGGGATCCATCCCCCCTCCCCAATATATCTGTGTCCTAGCCTTAGGAATCTGTGACTATGACCGTATTTGGAAAAGGGTCTTTGAAAGGGTGATTACAGAATTTGACCTATATTTGGGTCCTAAGACCAATAACAAATGCCCTTATGAGACATAAAAGGCAAAGATACACACCCTCACAGACACAGAAAACCATGGAGGTATTGGTCGGAATGATGCAATCCAAAGCTCAGAAATGCCTGGAGTCACCAAAAGCTGAAAGACATAAAGAAGGATTCTTCCCTAAAATCTGGAGAGAGAGCACCACCATATTCTCATCTCCATAATCATGACAATAAATTTCTGTTGTTTAAGTTAACAGTTTGTGGAAACTTATTACAGCCATAGGAAATTAGTACAAAAAAGGAATGGACTTTGTAAAGGACCCTGACTAGATTGACCAGAATGTCACATCATGTAGGAAGCTTGCTCTGGACCCTCCTCCCAGTCACTATCTGGGATTGATCAAGTGTTGCTCCCACAGCACTCTCCATAGTGTGCTCTACAGGACTCTACCTGATGCCATGTCACAATACCTTAATACCACAATTCCTCAGTCTACTTCCATTTCTCAGTCCATGTAATGACTAATGGTAGCAATCACTTAATATTTTTAAATATACTAATCCCATTAATGTTTGCAACTCGGGCAATACTAAAAAAAAAAGTTTAAAATCATGAAGTCATAGAAATTTGAGTCCATCAATATTTTTACATGCGTGGCATCCCATATAATACATTCTCAAAGGCAATGTTGTGGCCCCAGTCAGTTCCCTTTTCCTGTAAGGTGTACTCATTTTGTAGCTTCTGTGGGTGTTGACTGCTAATGGATAACAACCTCTTCTCTGGAGAATTGTCCTCTGCTAACAAAACTATCTGGCTTTGGAGGTAGAAATTCCGCGAGTACAATTTGAAATCCAGAGCCTCCCCAGGGATCATTAGAACTGGACTTGACTTTGACCTCATCCTTGTTAACTCCTTTCCCACACTAACTCCCTTTTAGGAATTTTTTCCTGAGGAACATTCCTTCAGTAAATTATATACCTCTAGATCCTTGAATTGTAGTCTGTTTTAGGGAATGTATATAAACATTTCCTTATTAAAGATAAAGATTTAATTATGAATTGAAAAATTATGGCATTGGTATGCTTTGGGACATGTCATAAATGGAAAAGCAGTGTCACAATCTTACACATTCCTAATACTAAGTTCACTTGAATGAGTTCCAGGAGAGAGAATTTGAATCAAAACCCACCATGTGGTAGGGAGCCAATAACATGGCTCCCGTATAAATTATTTAACGCATATGCTGCAAAATATGAAAGTGTTTTCTTCAAAGTGTGGGGAAAGCCTGAGATGAAGCTCCTATTTGCAAACTCTGTCATACTTTTTTTTGTTTTATTCACTCAGATACCACAAGCACCTAGTACAATACTTGAGAAGTATTCATTCAATACATTACTTTTGAATGAAGGAGTAGAATTAAGTTGCCTGGACCCAGCTATGCACATGCAGACTTGTGACAGAAAGGGGCAGAAGAGAGCTGCTTGAGCATACAATCTAGCTTGATGCCAAACCAGAGTAGGCAAGTTTACAATTTCTGTTTGACCTAAGCAGTTAGTAGGCAATGAGGTAGAATGTGAACAGAAGCGAAGGATATACAGAGTCAGAAATTAGGGCCTGAAGAACAAGTTGATGCAATGGTGTCAGCTGAACTTGTTAGGGAGACTCATGGAATGAACGAAGCTAAGAGGGTCTCTGCTATCATAAGCCTTTTCAAGGTGGTACCTGGTATTATATTTAGAGCCATATGCTAAGCTTTAATGCTACCCATAAAGTTAAGATGATGCAAAATCTTCGCATTTTCTAAAAAATCTTCCTTAAACTTTTCCTTATCTAGAATGTTAGGGTATTTTCTCAAATTAGGGAATACATATATAAAATAATGTGGAAATTTTTCATCATGTAATTTGAAGTCATACATGTTCTCTCACCCCTCTCCTAAATATGTCTCCCTGATGCTTGACATTCTCTCATTGGTGAGTCACTCCTTTTTGATAAGTATTTGCTCCTTCCCAGCAGGTCTTTTCTAATATGAAAAAAATATACTCAGAAGATAATGTTTTTGGTGAATTAGTTTATCATTTGTTTATGTGACAAGCATTTAAAATGCTAGACATTGTGGAACTATTAAAGATAGAAGAAGAGAGTGGTCCTTCCTAAAAAGCTCACAGGCTAAAAGCATTAGCGCCCAGGCAGCAGAAACACTGGAAGAGGGAACCGACAATTTCTGTCCATTTTACAGTTTTGTCTGTCACCTGTTCCAAATACAACCAGAAGGCAGAGGGGCAAGACTGGGCATGACGTAAATGAAAAAAGCTAAATTTGTGTGCTCCCCTCCTGTCAGTGTCAAAACCGGATAGCAGCATACAAATGAATGTACAAAGAAAGTAAATGCTCTCTCTGCTCTGATGCCTGAAACACTCCCTGAAGAAAGAGTAAAGAGCTGTACTTTAGGGATTCATCAAGTTAATAGAGCACACATGATACAGAATCAATAGGCAGTTGTAAAGCCTCCATCCTTTACTTTCTAGAATCATTATATTGTTACTAATTCACCTTTTTCCTTTACAATGTAATAAATAATAAATTATTGCTTCACTTTTTTGTAAGGGAAAGATGTCTCACTGTCATTTAATATTGATCTGTTACAATCATCTTTCTCCCACTTCTCAGCAAAGTATACACCAGATAAAATCCCTTGAATAAGTAATATGCTTAAGCCAGCAATAGCAGTTCTCTACCCTAATCAATATAAAAAAAATGTGATGTATATTTGTAAGAAAGTTTACATTTTAAATAAAAATCTATAGTAAAATCCAGTAGTAGTTTTCTAGTTGAGGATTTATATAGGAATAGTTTTTTGGTCTGTTTTATTTCTAAATTATGTGATAATTTTATGTCTTTTTTAATAAAAAGATTTTTAAAACAATATACAATTTTATTTTTTAAGTCATTTAAATTTTATTATTACTATTAAACACATATTAAAAGAGAATCTACCACAAATCAGAGCAAAGGTCAAGAACAGAACTCTACCTTAAATTTATCCCTCATTTAAATTAATTTTTCTTTAAATTCTTCTATTTGGTTACAGAAAATGTAAAGAATTATAAAAATGAACTTTTCATATATAGAGGGACATCAAATGCTGGAGCATGGATCAGATCTGGCCTTTGGAAACTAAACTTTCTGAGCCACTCTCCCGCAATTTTTCATTATAATAGCCACATGCAAACCATCATTGCTTCCATAGATAGTCATCTGGTTTCTCTAAGTAATATCGGTGCCCCTGTGTCACAGTTTATGTTAGAGATTTGGGTTAAGGCCATGACCTTAGATATTATGCTACTTTATTATTTCTCAATCAGATTACAGCTTTGCTATAGCCAACAAAAATTATGATCAGTAAGAAATCATTCTGTTTAGAAGTTTATCTTCTAATATTCAATTTGTCTTCATTTTGGAAGTCAAATATACACTAGCATGTATAAAGTCACAGCATTTGGATTCAAATAGAAACTTAGAAATTATCTGCTATAATCCCTTTTTCCCCAGAAAGGGATTTCAATAAATTAAGTGACTCACCCTCTAACAGTCATCTAACTGGTTAAAGAATTGAGATTTAAATCATTTTTTTCATGACCTCTCTTTCCAATTCAACATCTACTTACAAAAATAGTGTAACTTCAAGAATCCACAAAATGATATTTCTATTAATAACTAGGATCTCATTTAAGTTTTGACAATGTAGCCTTTCCTTAACTTCAAAGAAAAACTGGATAAAGCAATATCCAAAATTGAAAAACTTATACATAACAGTTCAAAATGTCTGCCATTAGCTGTTGGTGTGACCCACAAATGCTGTCAACTGAAATATAAATTAATAGGCATATGCAGTGATTTCCCCCTGGAAACTGTATACTTGAAGGAATTTTGAAGGAAAAAGTAGATTCCTTCCAGAATCTTTTTTATTACTTCCTTATACAAACACTATATTTTTGTGTTTGTTTTACTATGATTAAACTGTAAATGATGAGAAAACAATCAATGGGCAATTCACTTAGTAGACTCGGCTTATACTTATTTTTCAATACACATTGTATAAAGCCAAGACTTCCTTAGTTTTCTCAAAAACAGTATTTGATTAAACTACTAGCAATATGCTAATTAAATCCAAGTCAGCCAATTTCATCAAGTTAAAGGACTTAGAAAATAAATTCCTATAGTCCAAAGCAGAACTTGGCAATAGTGAAATGCAAACAAAATCACTCTTTGGTTTTCTTGCAAATTAAAATTTTCAGAAGGAAGTTGGCTACAGAAGCCTAAAAAGTAAGGGGACACATCTAGATTGACGAGAAAGAATCAAAAGTTACCAGCACACTGATAGTACTTGCCAAGTCTCCAAATTGTAGCTTGGTTGTCCCTAAGTTGGAGTTCTCATCTGAATTCCCTCAACCTGGAACCACATAAAGAAAAAGAAATAATCAGAACAAGATACTGAAGGTACTTTTAGGTGCCAAGTCTAAGAATAGCACATACCACTCTTGCCTCTATTCCATAGGTTATAAGTCAGTAAAAGGCACTTTTAACTGCAAGAGAGTGTAAGAAAGTGAACCAGGTATGTACCTACAAATGGTAGCAAAACATTATTTAATCTGGTCAACACACTGCTCCCCTCAGCAGTGTATTTCAGTCAGTCCGCCTGTTCTGTTCCCCTGTCTCTGGTGAACCTTCTCACGCCCCCTCCCCACACCTCTGGCCTGTACCCCTGTTCTTGTATGCATAAATAAATGGTTTTAAAAAATGGAAGGAAAACAGTATTCACCATAACTGTATATAAATTGGTTTTCCTTCTTAAAATAAAAAATTAATCTTAACAAAGTAAGACTATTACCAAGCTATTCAATTAAGAATTATCATTTTGACAGACATCCTCTAAAAATATCTTTTGTCCAAAAATTTTACAAATAATTCTAAGAAATTTAACCTATGGGTATATTTTGTGACCATAGTAACTAGAAGGTTCATTATTAAATATATCTATGTACCTATGATGAATAACTGATTCTTGGTAAAAAGGTCCAGAATTGATTTAATATTCCTGCTTTCTCCTTTTTTTAATCCTTGCCCTCCACCCCATCATTCTCAAAATATCTTCTTTAAATGCAATAATCTGATTTACAGTTACTACCAATACACCCAATTCAAAAACATTCTTAGCCAATAACCTTCTTCACTCAACTGATCTTTAGATCCTATTGTTTCTCATAAATACATCTTGAACACATCCTTTCTTTTTCTATTTCCATGACTAGCCCCTAACTAAAGTCTTTAACGTCACTTAAATGAACTATTCCAACAGGTGCCTAATTGTTTTCCTTCACTTCTATTCTTACCTGTCTCCACTCCATCTGTCCCCCACACTGCACTCAGAATAATCTTTATGTAATACAATTTGTCTCCTAACTCATAAAGTAGGCTCTAATTCCTGGGTAACCCCCAATTCATTAGTGTAATTCCTTAATTCCAGTCAGCTCTTTCCTGCTGACAGGATTTTAAATTAGTAGACTATAAAAGTATTTTCCCTTAGTAAGCCCTTGCAATAGATTTTCCCAAATTCAACTTTGCCTACCTCCCACACCCATCTTGTGTGACTTTCTATATGCAAACATAGTCTTTTCTATTTTCAAGTACTTACTCAAATTTTCAGAGGTCTTTCATGCTTTGGTGATTTGTGAATCATATTTCCCTCTATTTGATATGCAGTTGTCCCCCTATTTAGGACTCAGCTCAAACTTTTGTCCCTTTGAAGATATCTGACCTCAGCCCTTGTACACACTGTCAGTGAAGTTCTTGGCATGTGTAAGGGCAGGAAGGGCACAGCGCAGGTTTTTTATGATCCGAGCAGACCAGGTAAAGAAGGAGTCCTGGAGCCCTTGGTGGTTTTTGCAGGCTTTTATTGGGATTTACCAGGTACACAGCAGGCTGGGGTGCTGGGGTGGCCAGGAGGCTGGCAGGCCTCCCAGTCCCCAGCAAGTCTTCACTCTTTCTGGGCTCTCTGGCATTCTCTGGTGGTCTTGTTCCCTTCTGCTTCCTCTCTGCTCTACTGGTGTCCCAGTGACACTGCCCTTATAAACCCAGTCTCTCAGCATGGGTGTATCCACTTATGCATGCCCACACCCTACTCCAGGTGCCCGCCATCAGGCATGCATTCAGGACCATAAGGATCCATCATCAATCCTAATGGCAGAAAAGCCTGATACTTTGCTTACCCTAAAGCACGGTTCCAGAGTTTATCTTTGTGGCAGCTCACTGATTTTGTAATACACCTAGTTTATTTGCATCTTTTTGCTGTGTTAAGTCTCTGTGTTGACTTGGCCTTAGTCTAGTTCAATCATCATCTAGTTGATGCCATATCCATACAGGTCACCAGGCAGCAAAAGGGCTGATCCTCTCCCAACATGAAACAATTTCCTATAGTTTAGAAATATGATTTTGATATCATTTCTATATCACCTATATCTATATTATTTTCTATATTATTTCTATATCAAACTCCACAGAAACATTAATTTTATATATCATTTCTGTATCATTTTCTATATTTAGAATTGGGACACATGTCATTTTGAACCAATTACCTGATTAGATGATAATCGGGTAAATTAATTTACCCAATTGGTTGAAATATTCAGAATTCATCTTTAAACTGGCCATCTTCTCCTAAGATTTTGATATTTCAACAAAATCTGATACTTTATGCAGGATGAAGGGGAGAATAGAATTAGTATAGGTATAATCCAAAGCTACTTTTCTGGCCTGTGAGACCATATATTAACTATCCATCCTTAATACAGAACATTGCATGGTACACATAGGGTTCTCAGTTAATACTTGCTGGATGAATTTAACATTATAATTATACCACATAATTTTGTGTGATCTAAGGTCGATTTACCTCCACTAGTGTTTTTGATGATGCATGCCCGTAGCTTACATAATGTCATCATGCAATGCTACCTCAATAAAATAAAATAAAAAAAGCAAGTGATCAGAACATGTTATACTTGTATGGCGTTAACCATTTGTATTTGATAATTTAAAAAAACAGACTCCCTTAGCACTCTAAAATTGGGGGGAAATTGCATTAAATGACTTACCAAATTCGATGAAGTTTTTGGAGAGGAATCAGCTGTTAACACTAATCAGAGCCTTTCCTCTGACTGATTCTAGTGCCAGGAAGGCACAATGCAGGATCTCTATGATCTGGGCAGATGGGTAAAGGAGAGTCCTGGAGCCCTTGGTGGCTTTTTCAGGCTTTTATTGTGCTTTTTACAAGGCAGTGGGCTCTCAAGAGTCTTCAGTCTTTCTGGGCTCTCTGGCATTTTCTCATGTCTCTGCTTCTCCTTTGCTGCTCTGCTTGTTCTGCTCTTTCTCTCATTCTGTTGCTCTCACTCATTCTCTGCTGGCATCCCTATGATGCCACCCTTATAAACCCAGTCTCAGCCCAGGTGTGCCCACCTATGCATGCCCACACTGTACTCCAGGTGTCCACCATTAGGCATGCATGTAGCATCACAGGGAGCCATCATTAATGTTGATGGTGGGAGGGCAGGAAAGCTTGATAATTTTTCATTTACCCTACACTGATACTGTATATCAAAATCCTGTTGAAAATAAAAGGCTACCTCTAGTGATTTATTGAGAAATGTTTTGTGAGGAGGTCTGTAAGGGCAGGAATGGGCACAGGGCAGGTTTTCTATGATCCAAGCAGACTGGGTAAAGGAGAAGTCCTGGAGCCCTCAGTGGCTTTTGCAGGCTTTTATTGGGATTTACCAGGTACACAGCAGGCAGGGGTGCTGAGGGGCCGGGAAGCTGGCAGGCCTCCCAACCCCCAGCAAATCCTCACTCTATCTGGGCTCTCTGGCGTTCTCTCTGCTTCTCCTTTTCTTGGCTTCCGTTCATTCTTGGCTTCTGCTGGCATCCCCGTGACACCACCCTTATAAACTCAGTCTCTCAGCCCAGGTGTACCCACTTCAGGTGCTCGCCATCAGGCATGCATTCAGGACCACAGGGTTCCCTCATCTTTCCTAATGGCAGGAGGGCAGAAAAGCCTGATACTTTTTCCTTACTCTACAAGGTGTTACCAAACAACCAAGTACTATTCTTGAAAGTATAATTTTCTGTACTATGACTTTCTATGAGTTTTGGGAATTATGGTAAAGTTTTGGTTTGTTTTTTGCTCCTCTGTTCCCCAGTTTCTTTCTTTTCTGGACCATGAAGATTTAGTGGGGTTTTTTTTTTTTCTGTTTTGCATCATTTAGTGATTTAGTCCTGTGTTTCCAGGCCCTATTTTACTTTCTGTCTTTGCTCATCAAAAAAGAGCACTTGAAAAATGTTGAGTGGAGATTTTTCCTGCTTTCTTCTAGTTCAATTTTCAATTTCATTTGTTTTCTGTCATTATAGTTACCATAGAAAGACAGTTACCTTCTTGTTCCTTGTCTGAAGTACTTCATATGTGTTGCTTTCATGCCAACAAAATCCAGACATATTTCAATCAAATTCTTGTCATGTTTAAAAAGAGAATTCTTGCACTTGTTTTGACATGTGTAATTTATGTATGGCCAATAACGAGAGAACAGTTGGTGCAAATAGCGCTTGTCTTCTGAGTTGACGGTCTGCCTGATACACTAACCATTCTTGACAATATGTCAAATAATTGGTGCATCTTTCTGACTTTAGTCACTTGCAATGTTAAATGGAGAGACCCTAATATACATATCCCTTTCCTTTTTAAATTTATCAATGTGTATGTGTCTCCTAAAATGCTGTAATTGTCATTAACTTACCAAAATGGTGGAACTTCCATCACTTTTTCCAAATAAAATTTACCAGTGCTTTTGGAGAGGCTTTTACTGAAACTGTTGATATAAATTGATCAGAGATAACTCTGAAAATCTTGCAAGACAATCTAGAGCTTTCGTTATAAGTTATTTTAGGGGAATGCTGAACAGGCAAACCAGTAGACATCAGTGAATACAGGGAAGACATGCAGGAAAATGCACAAAAAAATACATTGAGGAAAAAGAGTATAAAATTAGTGATCCATTCTTTCATCTATTCCTTAAGTTTTTATTGAGTGTCTATCATATATATAAATTTTAGCTCTTTGGTGAAAGATAAAAATGTGAACAATGAGTCATAGTAAATATGATTTAAGTTGTGTGATTTTTTATTTTTTTTAAGATTTATTTATTTATTTATACAAGCACTGGGTACAGTCAGAAGTGCGGGAGGGTGAGAGAATTCACCAGAGCCAGAGCAGGGAGCAGAGCAGGCAGAAAGACCGAAGTACACTGCTGAGGGGAGCAGCGGGCGGCAGGAGAGGTCTGCGCGCCTTGTGGGACCCTCCTCTGGTGGCCGGGGAGCAGCCGGGGATCGAACCGGCACTGCAGA